GCCCAGCGGCGGCTATCACTTAACATCAGATGAACCGCCAGCTCGCTTGACACCTTTTCATATAAAAAACAAACTATTGCGCGGGCATATTGCGTACATACCTGGATGCAATGGCGTTGCAATAAAAAAAAACATGCTTCGAAATTGATTCCGCAAGACCGATCGATTTGATCGCCAATTGGAGTGTAACGCGAACTTTGACGTGTCTGTTGACAGCTGCGCAGGTTTTGTCTTGGTGTCGTATCACAAAACACACCAAGTTCAGTGTTCTTTCTTTCTTTCGTTACGAATATATGTAGTTACGTATGCAAGTGACAGAAGGGCAATCTGGATAGACCATAAGCCAGATACCATTCAAAATTTGCATGCTTTTTGTTAAATTTGTTTGTTAAAAGGCTCCTTACTCGCTAGATGTTGTATAGACCCGTGCAAGCAGTCGACAGAAGTTCCCGAAACTTCTATTACTTATCATCATTATCGGCATCACACGAACAGGCCATTTCGGCCTGTTCGAGTGTAAAAGTAAAAGTAAAGTAACAGCCTATACATGTCCCACTGCTGGGCAAAGGCCTCCTCTATACAGAGGGTATCAGGGCATAGTCCACCACGCGGCCCCACTGCGGATTAGCGGACTTCACATATTTTTCGAAATATATTTTTTTTGTTATTATTTCGAAAATATGCAGGTTTCCTCACGATGTTTTCCTTCCCCGCGGAGCATGTGATAAGTCAGCACTTAAAGTTAAAAACTTCATTGGTGCCGGCACCGAGGATCCAACTCAGGTTGCTCCAGTATATTGAAATAAAGGCGAGCGCCCGGACACTGAGCTATCACGGCTCTTTTTTTTTCACGGGTTTTGTGTAAACACAATTAAAAGTAACTAGTATATATTTACAATTTTTAATCATAATTGGCAATTAACATGTCATCGTATAGTAGACACAAACACAATGGTTTTATACCTAGCAATAAAGATTTAATAACTCGAATATTTGTATCGATTTAATGAATATAATTTCATAGCAATAACAAAATGATTCGTCCTCATAGATCTGATTTTGTTATTAATTTAATACAATAATCATCCTAGGCTAACTTATACAATTCTTCTGATACCCTGTTTATTAGTAATAAATTATGTATTTTATACTTGTCATTTTTGTACGTCGTAGCCATAATTATAAAGTTAGACACATTTATATCTCAATCTTTGATTAAGAACATACTTGTTGCATTTCGTTTTTATAATCTACCCACTTTACACGCTACACCATAATTATGTTTTAAAATGTTTATTATTTCAAATAGTTATACTGAAAACTTAAAAATTCTAATTACGCTTAATTATTTACTTCTTGATTTTACGCGAATATTATACCTACATATTAAATGAAACTAGTTTATGGATTTTATCGTGTTTTTCGTTGTTATTTTAACAAGGCAAGCAATGTGACAAGAGTTGTTCCTTTATGGATGTCTCCTTATGACTAGTTACAAAAATTATTTATCATCCTAGTCACTTCTAGAGATTAGCTTTATGTGCATTTTCTAAAATTGTTTTTGTTTATATTCAATACTTAAATTTTCAATTAAAAAATTATCAATAAAAATTAAAATTTCTCAATAAAAGTTTTATATTATTTTATATTATATTTCTTATTCTCAAAGCGACTTTTGTTTTATCTGGGTAATATCATATTTTTGTTGTAATAAGACAAAAATAATATTCATCTTTTAAATCAGAGCTAAATCTCTAAATATCTGTAGAGTTTAACGAGAGAGTAACGGTGGTAGGGCGACGCCGCAGCCTCGGCTGTTGCACGAATGGGCAAGACTGTCCGGGTAAGTACCACGATCTCACAGAAGACCAGCGTAAAGTGGAAGTATGACAAATACTTTCGCGTTTCGTCTGGTGAGTGAGGTAGCTGGAGCCCAATTTTCAAAAGGTTGTCAACGCATCTGCAACCCTCGGGTGTAGCAGATGTCCATGGGCAGCGGTATTCACCTAACATCAGGTGAACCGTATGCTCGTTTGGCAACTTTTCACAAAACAAAAATATTCGCGTTTTGCTTAACAATCATAAAGCGGCACCAATCAATTATTCTTCAACAATTGTCTTAGTCGCCATAGAAATATTATCTCAAGCAAATTTACCCAAATTAAATGAAATACACGAACAGTTAAAGTTGCTGAAAATGTCATTGTAGGTTTATAACGACGATTACGCACAATGTCAGAGATGAAAGAACAATGCATAACGCCTCCGGAGCGGCCTTGTATAAATTTGCAAAACTCTAGCCGAGGTCAGATCTTGACGCTAAACAGACAAGAAAAACGCAAAACTGTAAAAATTAAAGAATACCTAATATGATACACCGTGTTAAAGAATATCTAATATGTTATGCCGTGTTAAAGAAAACTTGATATTTCCGAACTTTCACGGCTTAACCGTAAAAGTTCAGTGTCCGGGCGCTCGCCTATAATTCTTTTCTTTTATGGGAAAAAGGGCAATGTCACTTGATGGTGAGCCATCACCGCCGCCCATGGACGTTTGCAACATTTGCAACGAATTCAATTTACTAGACAATCTACTGCCAGCACGAATGAAATTGTTAATTATAATGGTGACTATCACGTGCTCCTGGAGACCTGCAAATTTTTGATATAAAAACAAAAAAAAATATTTCGAAAATATGTGAAGTCCGCTAATCCGCAGTGGGTCGTGTGTGGACTATGCCCTGATACCCTCTTTACAGAGGAGGTCTTTGCCCAGTGGGATATTTATAAGCTGTCACTTTACTTTTTACTTTTATATGTTACTAGCTGCTGCCCGTGACTACGTCTGCGTAGTATAGGCTGAAGGTGTAACATTAAGACAGAAAGACAGATATACATAAAATATGTACATAAGTTATAGCCTATGTCTTATTCTGATGTATATGCTATATTACTGTAAAGTTTCATTAAAATCCATTCAGTAATATTTGCGTGAAAGAGTAACAAACATCCATCCATACATACAAACTTTCGCCTTTATAATATTAGTAAGGATATCCCAGGTTAACAATCACCATCATGAAAGAAATGAAATCATTAGGGAATAATAAAACTACACAAATACACATTCGGCTTCGATCAGCGAAGGTTGTTAAGAAGCTAACTTTGTGTGTCTTTCTTATTGCAGTTCAGTCTCGGAATTTCAAAAATCGAATGTACTTGTCAGCTGCTAGCCTTTTGAATATCGTGCTCAAACTTTGATGGTTGTCCGTTATCTTTAATAACTGCTAAGTTTAAAGTAAGGTAAATGTGAAAGATTGGAAAATTATATCGTATTTAAGGGCAGTAACTTATATATGTCATGTACATCGAGAAATCGTCCATTAATTCGGATAAACAAAGCGCTTTTAAAATTAATACTTAGACGGAATTTCATCCGATCAAAAATTTTTGTTTATTTATTTATATGGGACAACCTACATTTCGTTAAAAAACGAGCCAGTAGTTCCTGGAACCCGAGGGTAAGTTATTACCCATGGATATTTACAACGCCTGGGGATTGCGTGGCGAACCTTTTGGACAGTGGTTCTGGCGACACGGGCTCTGAGTTACGATGAAGCTTTAATTAAATTAAAACATTCAATTTTTATACAGCGTGTCGTTACCATCGCGACAATAAATGAACACACGTGTAATCCTACTTGCCAATAATCATAAAAAAATATTAACATTAAACAAAATCCATAATTATAAAAATATACTTTTCAAACAAACTAATTAAGTAAAAATAATTAAGAAACAAAATTTGTAACATCCTATACAACCCGCGCCACAGCGTCACAAGTCTCTCCTTCTAACAGTATGTTTTATCTCTTTTAAATTCATTCAACAAAGTCATATGCTTTGTGACCTTTACAAACGAACTTTACGTTACAGTTTTATACGTACGGGTGTTCTAAAATTCTTTGTTTTGGAAAATTTAATAACTCTGTAAATATTGATGTTTAAAGAATGTAAATGTTTAATTTAATTTTAAAAAGTTATCACCTATTTATGTGTGTTCATTTATTGTCGCGATTGTACAGACACGCTGTATAGATAAGATATAAGATTTTAAACATTTTTCTAATAGAAAACTGACTCAACTCAACACACATACATTTCTAGCATTATAACTGTGTCAGGGCGACGCACCAGTCTTCGCTGATGCACGAATGGGTAGGTTCGTCGGGTGAAGTACCACGACCTCACAGAATACCGCTGTGAAGTAGATATGCTACGCTTCTTTCGCGTGGTGGAGAACAGGAGCCCATTTAATTAAAAGTTTGCAAAGCATCTGCAATCTGGTGTTGCAATGTCCATGGGCGGCGGTTATCACGTAACTTCAGATGAACCCCGACATCGCTTGCCCGCTTCTCACATTAAAAAAATATCCATAGACACTATGTTGCAAAATTAATCAAGTCGCAGTCACTTTGCAAACAAGATGGTTACGTCACGTATGGGAGGTATTCTAGCCGGCCAATCAATTTCTAGTAAATAAAAACGTCAGTCATTCCGCACCCGTCATATTGATACATAGGACATTGCGGTATTAAATAAAACGCGACGTTTCGCGGAGTACCAGGCGAGCATAGCGTCGAGAGGCTAGTTGGGTCCAAGTCAAGGCGATCGGCGGCGGCCTCGAGACGAACCGATAAAACACACGTTACGACGCGGTCTATCGAATGCGCGAACGGGCGCTCTCGATATTACGGTGTATCGAAACGGCGCCAAAATAAGAAAGAATATCGAATATTCTGTCGGCAGAAGAGAAACGATCGCACTAGAAAGTTTCAAGTTTACGTTTAGTTCGTCTCCGTAAATGCACTCGTTACATTGTTCAACTTGATGTAGTTAAAATCGGTGACATTTGGATGAGCATTTATCATTTACGTCCCATTATGTTCCAATTCCAGTTATCTTTTGCGCGGATCGTGGCCGTCGCGATGCAGTCGGGCGATGCTTGTGAACACTGAACGTTGTCTATATCTTTCGGCGAAACCTCTAATTAAACAAATAATCTATTCGGCGCGGTCGAAGGTGAGTTATGACGCTCTAGTAACGCTTTGCACTTTGCGTAAAATTTTCTCATTTATCCATCATTAAAATTGGACGGTTTGTAACAAAAATAACATTATCTAATGGACCAACAAGCCTAATGGGGCTCGGAAGAAGCTAAAGACTTAAACGATGTCATAAAATGCATTAATCATGATCTCATTCTAAATATAGATACGACAAACAATTAACTTTCCTTATGTATAAAACAGCTGGTATAGGCAAGACGGTCAGACCCTGAAGTCTCACGCAGAGCTGTTCGTAGTGCAAGAATTTATTCCGGATAGTACAATCCTGTATTTGGTAATACGTCTGTAATAAGAGTTTCAAGATTATTTTAATAATTGACGGATTGGTTTATGATTAATTTGGGCCGGAACTCGGCGACTGTAACCGCAGTGGTCCCTGCAAACCACACGAGACTAGACGATATTAGTCATTTATTAGTCAGACTGTTACTTACAAATGTTACAACCGGCGAGGCCGGAGGCGCAGATGCCCGTTGGTCTCAGTCGAAGGCAGAGCGCTGCCAACTATTTAGTTTTTAGTTTAGAGCTGTGCCACGTTTATTGATAAACTTGTGATACCGTCGTTATTTGTTTCTTTTTCGAAGAGCGTTTGTAGTGTCACGTTGTTTATCTGTGATCCCTTTGTGTGTGGAACGTTTTGTTTGCGCGTTTAATTTTGATACTCGTATTTCCGGCGTGTGAGTATTAGATTTGTTTTTGTTTATTCGCTTCTTTGTTTCGTACGTTTATATTCCCAATTAGACATTGGACCTTGGAATTTACCTTAATTGTTGTTTTTGAACAGTTGCCACAACGTTCAAATTTAAATTATTAAATTTTTTGTCGATTTTTTATTTTGTTATTTTTTTCCCTTTTTTTAAGGTCTTTCTATTATGAAAAACATCAGTTCATATTTTCTTATTATTACGTCAGTAAGATCGAAATAAATTATACATATTTCATTACTCAGTAATTTGTATCTAAATGTAATTTCCAAAATACACGATTTACAAAAAAAAAAAAAAAAACAAACCGAGGAAAGCTCGGTCCTCCGGGTACTACTACTATATATACCATATAATATTAAAATATGATGGATCAAACTCAATTTAAGTTTGGTACAAGCTAATACGCCTCTTTATACCGCTTTATTATTTGATCCGTGTACACTTTGACAAATTGACGGTAGCCCGAGTTATCTTTGACATGAAGACATCAAGACAACAATCTGTAATTCTGTACCTTGACCATGAACGTCATAAACATTAAACTAAATATACAGTAAAAATTGAAAAAAAAAAAACACCATGATCTTTAAATATTTCTTCACTTCTTTCTTCTTCTGGGGTGCCCTATCCTATCGGATGTCGGCGACCATCACACGGAACTATTTCTTCACTACAAAGCATAAAACCAAGTCGTCCCGATGTCTCTCTGTCCCTATGTATGCTTAGATCTTTAAAACTAAAAAAAAAAAAAAAAAAAACTGCGCAACGGATCTTGATGCGGTTTTTTTTACTAGATAGAGTGATTCAAAAGGAAGGTTCATATGTTAAATACATTGCACTCGTGCGAAGCCGGGACGGGTCGCTAGCATGTTATAAAATGAATAAGCTACCAAACCAATGAGCGAATGAAGACATAGGGGGTTCCGGAACCGGTTTAGATACAAATTCTGTATAAATAAGTTTTATATTAAAAAAGCAAGCGATGCGAGCTGTCTACAGTTTGGGTCCACCTGAATAGTTGCGGTGTCTTTTTAAGCAAATAAACGTTTTAACGCACCCTGGCTCGAGAACATTATGTATTCTCGTAATACTATCTATGTTTTATTTTACAAAAAAAACATACCAAATGGGGGCTATGTGATTACACTCGGGAAGTACCGAGTTTGAGACTGGCTAAAACCAAAATGTCGTTTCTTTGTAGATGTATTAACTTAGTTTACTAAAACTAACTTCTGTCAAAAAATATAGGTTCCGAATAAGTTATCACCAACATATCATACACTATAAACCTCCGAAACACTCTGCATCTTAGGTTAAAAGTATTATTCCCATTAATTCATAACATTTAGTGGTTTTCGCTGTATAATCGAACAAAAAAATAACGGTTCTCCATTTATTACTATAGATTAGTGACATTCACAAACAACTACTTGTAAACAATTTCAAACTTTTTGTAAAAGCTAACCTAATGAAAAGAGTCTCTTTATCGAAGAATACATTGAGGACAATTACGTGTGGAAATAACTCTTGCTGTGCACATGCAAGTCACTGGCTAATGCTAATTTTATATTTAAAAAGTTTTGTGTACTTTTATAATTAAAAAAAAAGATGTGAAGACTGCAGTTTCTTGCCGGCTCTTCTCTGGACAGGTCTTATGCCCGGTTCCTATATTCAACGAACGGCTGTTAGTTACATAGTCATTATGAAATCGTTACAACGAGTCATTATGAAAATTACGAAGTTTTGTAACTAACGGCTAATTTATGTCCGGTTCCTATATTCAATACAGGAACCGGACATAAATTAGTTAATAGGTGGTGGTAGATTTTCGACGTTCAAGAAACCAAGCCTATATTGAATAAACATAAATTTTGACTGACTTTTTAGGCTTCCGTACCCAAAGGGTAAAACGGCACCCTATTACTAGGACTCCGCTGTCTGTCTGTTGTCTCTTTGTCTGTCTATCTGTCTCTCAGTTTGTCACCAGCCTGTCTCATAAACCGTGACAGTTACACAGTTGAAATTTTCACAGATGATGTATTTCTGTTGCTGCGATAACAACAAATATTACTAACCATTTTTTTACTAACGAAAATCCAAAACCGCCTTCAAATATCTCTTTCTGCATTCATTTTATAATCGATTTCCCTAAGTACCTCCGTAACCCAAGACCTAAGACCAATGAAATCAATACGGGACCACATGGGAAGTACGAGCTTTCAAATTAAAAAAAAGAATCATCAAAAGTTCTGAGGTAACAAACATAAAAAAAAATACAACCGAATTGAGAACCTCCTCATTTTATAATGGGTTAAAAAACAGAATAAAATAATATTTAAGTGGGGCTCCCACATACAACAGACACGATTTTTTGCCGGTTTTATAGATAATAAGTACGGAATCCTTCGTGCGCGTGCCCGACTCGCACTTGGCCGTTTTTTCAACCGACTTCTAAAGGAGAAGGTTGTCAATTCGACTGTACTTTTTTATGTTTGTTACCTCATAACTTTCGACCGGTGAACCGATTTTGATGGTTCTTTATTTATTTGAAATAATAATAATAATAATATAAACCCAACCAGACGAGAAAACAAATGAATATCCCCCCATAATAATAATAATAAAATATCTTTATTCACATAGACGCTTGCGCGTTCTTATGAAACGTCAAAATTTTACAAGAAATTAACACGTTCGTAAGTTACCACCGGTTCGGAAAGCAGTTTCTGTTGAGAAGAAGCCGGCAAGAAACTCAACAGTTGCTCTTTTTTAAAAAATCAGTTTACAATATAATAGTACAGGTACAATAGTCTTGTTTTAGCCTACGTGAGTATCAACAGTATTAATATAGGTAGAAAGCTGCTGCTTCCCATGTGGCCCCATATTAATTTCATTGGTACTGGACCTTGGGCTCCGGAGACACTCGGGGAACTCCTGAAAATCAATTATAAAAAGAATACAGAGCGTGTTATTTGAAGGCGATTTTGTTTTTCTTTAATAAAAGAAACAGACTTGTTTTACTTTCAATCCAATAGATCCTGACATACCGATATACGTGGAACGCCTGAATGATAAGGAGAATCTTTCGTAATTCACCTTCGATACAGATAGTGTTGCCCAGGGCAATAATATTAAATTACTACATAAAAATCGGATAAAATAGCGTCAGTTGCAACACGTTGTTGTTAAAAAGTAGCGGTCTCGGTACGGGAATTTAGCTCGTATTGCTGGTGTATAAGTCGCAGAATTGCGTTCACCCCGTACACCGCGAGATGCCGCGACCTTTAGTCAGCTGAAAAAAAAGTCATTACGAACATCGAAATCTATTATTATTTATTTGATTTTAGTCTATTACAGTTGGGCTGCGGTCGTGTGCTCGTCGAATCCAAATAGGGTAAATATAATTGGGTTATTTATATATTTGCCTAAATTCGCGAAATTCAGGGCTTAGCAAAAATAAACATACCGATTACATTATTTGCTTTTCGATTGCTATTACTATTTCCCGTCTCTGTCTGCTATATCGGGATTCATAGCCGTAGAGGGAGATAGCAAATGCATATCAATTTCCACTGAGGTAACTTACAAGGAGACTGCAAGGGGTACTCAGTAAGAGAACTCATATGGCCAAATCGTCGCAGGCCATATGAGAAAACTAAGTTACATGTTAAAATTTATCGAACTGCCCGGCAATTTATACCTACTTATATACATTTTTATTAATAATAATTCATTTGTTTATCTATAACAGTAACACTGTAATTTATTTACTTTTTTTACCTTTTCTCTTTTGCTCCATAAGATGTAGTAATTTCTATCGTGCTATTTTTAGTTTGATTAATTTCTAGTTAAATTGTGTATGTTTTATAGATTGAGTGGCCCAATGTAACTTACGATGAAAAGAATAAAATAAATAAAATAAAAATAAAAACATAAAATTTTGATTTACTTTATTACCTCCCATATATGATAATTGTTATGTCCAATTATTGTGTCATATGAATTATGTATATGCTTATATACATAATTCTTTTTACTTACTTCTACTTATTTTTTTTATTTTTTTATATACCAGATCATTGCTTTCTTTATTTTTTTAAGTTCCAAAATACACTATTTACCAAAAGAATAGGCGCGAGAGCTTTGAGTCCGGGTGCCTGGACAGTGGACTCATCAGCTTTTAATTGAACATACGCCAATTTTTGTTTTCATGGGAAAAATCCTTTATGGACCGCCATTGAAATGCCACTGGATCTGGGGAATGGCAGCTGCTGCAAGTAATGCTGTTTTTCTTTACTATAATTATGACCTCTATTGTTGAGTTCTGATTAGACAAACAATCTTACTGCAATTTGACTATATCACACCGTTGCCGTCTCCTTCTTAGGCATAACATGATAGGTGGTTCGGTCTCTGTACCGGGCGCAGTTGGACAATAATTTCTATGTAAGTATAGAGGAAAACCGGCCAAGTGCGAGTCGCACTCGCGCACAGTTCCATACCATTATCTATAAAAAAATCATGTTTGTTGTATGGGAGTCGAGCTGAAATATTTATTTATTCTGTTTTTTAGTATTAATTGTTATAGCGGTAACAGAATTTCATCATATGTGAAAATTTCAACTGACTCATTGTCACGTTTCGTGAGATACAGCCCGGTGACAGACGGACAGACAGACAGCGAAGTCATAGTAATATGGTCCCGTTTTACCCTTCGGGTACGGAATCCTTAAAACTTAAAACTTATCTGGGTACGCTGCCGGGTTACAAACCCGGAACCTAAACTAGCATAATGGTAAGGCCACCACTAGTTCCGCTGCTTCACTATTACTACAAAGTTACCTAGACTCGGCACTGACCTTACGGTTAACTATAAACCGGTATCACGTCGTGTTAGAATTAATTACAGTCCGCCGTTATGGGTATACGGAAAATTGCTATCAGTATCCTTACTAATATTATAAATGCGAAAGTTTGTATGTGTCAACGCCGGTAGTTGGATGTCGAAAGAATACGTCACAGCCAAATTCCATCACACCACCTCGACCATGTTTTATACGCCATCTTAGCGTTCGACAATTCTCCCGAGCGAGCTAATTAGCTACCACCGCTGTAACACCTACCTTTCAATTGTAAATTATACGCTATATTTAATTTCGCTATTTATTTTCAAGTCCTCATACTGTAACCGAGAGAATCCATCACGCAAGGGCCTCCTCACAGTATCTATGGACGGATGTTTGTTACTCTTTCACGCAATTACTACTGTATGGAGTCTAATGAAACTTTACAATAATATAGCTTGTACATCAGAATAACACATAGGATATAATTTATATACATATTGTGTGTATATCTGTCTTTCTGTCTTAATGATACACCATCAACCTATTCTACGCAGACGTAGTCGCGGGCAGCAGCTAGTTGTTTTATATAATGTTAATGAACCCACAAAACCCACACCCTGTGGCGCAGGGTGTGGGTTCGAACCCCACTACTGGCAAAATATTGTGTGATGAACATAGTGTTTTTCTAGTGTCTGGGTGTTTATTATATATGTATAATATATATTTATTTACAAAAGAAAAGTATGTTTAAGTATGTTTATCAATTATCTAGTACCCGTAGTACAAGCGTTGCTTAGTTCGGGAATGAAGAACGTTGTGTAAAAATGTGTCCTAAAATATTTATTTATTATTTATTTATATTACTTTTTTCAATTTTTTCCTCATTCTGTCGTCTTTGGCGCAAACGAATCAGCAAGTAAGACATTAGTTTCTTTTATGATTTTTTTTAATTTTAGCGCTAGTGTCTGCACTCAAGATGAACCTTTAAAATGGTAAAATTTTTGTACATAAATGAACAAAATCTTTCGGCACTGCGGGATTCGTACCTGCGTCGTCTAATTCCGCGCCTAGACGCTTTACTTACTAAACTAAGCGGCCAATGACCTCGCGGCGCGAACATTTTAACATCCATCTACCTTCATACTATTGCATTTTTAGCAATTACGCGCCGATAGCGATGACTACACGTGCCAAGCATTGCTTAAAATGCAATAGAACGAACATATGCTTTTGTTCATAAATGATTAATTAATAATTCGCTATTCATACTAGCAATATTGTTATAATAGTTACGTTGCAAAACGTGCGTTATAGTTTTACGGTATTTAGAGTAGCATAGAGCAATCGCGCCATCTCGCGTGACAAGAAGTGCATTGTTCGCAAACTCGGTCATTTTTAAAACATCTTTCGAAACAACGTTTTTGACAACAAGAACATTTTTGATTTCTGTTTTTTTTTATGTGAGGAAGTGGCAAACGAGCTGGTGGTTCACCTGATGTTAAGTGATAACCGCCTGCCCATGGACATTTACAATCCCCGTAGGGTTACAGATGCGTTGCCACCTCTTAATAATGTGGGCCCCGGCCACCTCACTCACCAGACGAAACGCAGAAGTGCAACACTTCTACTTTACGCCGGCCTTCTGTGAGGTCGTAGTACTAGCCCGGACGGACTTGCCCATTCGTGCAACAGCGAACACTGTTGCGTGGCCCTACCACCGATGATTGCACATTAAATAAAAAAGTATAAAGGCGTTTTTTATTTATATATTTCAACCTTTAAATAAAAAGGATTACAAAGGGCGAACTTAATGCCTTATGGCATTCTTTCTCTCGTTGTTCAAGGAAGTAAGACCTATGTTAGACGGCAGTTTATGATTAACAGTATTGAATAACCTCCTTCTTTTTTGAAGTCGGTTAGAAAGGAGTATCTACTCTAGTGACTTGGTGGCGCAGTTGCTGAGGCTTGGCCTTGGCGCTGGGGGTCGTGGGTCCGATTCCCGCGCAGGTCAAGTATTATGACCCACAGATAATCGTTCCGGATCTGGCTCCACGGACCAACGGGTCTATTTCAGGCACCTTTTTTTTTGTTTACGTGCGGGAAATGCCTACGCATACCTGCCCTCGCGGGGGCAGGAGCGGGTTATGTCGGACTCGCACCGACTAAAACCCCCACGATGTTCCATCTAGGCGCATATCGGCAAGGTCACGGGAACGCTTTCGTACACTTCCGCGACCCTGTCAGCGCTGGCCGCCTCAGCAGCCCCCTCCCGGGGAGCAACTCCCCTCTCCTCCATGTAAGGCGCGCTGGAACATTCAGCGCGACTTCCTACTCGGCCCCATTTGCACGGCCAACGAATTTCTGCGAGTTCGCTGACCGGGGCCATGAGAGCCGGTGCTTATAAGCAACAAACCCCCCAGCCCCCAGCGGCGGACCTGGTCTGTGGCTCCGCCGCTCTCCACGTTTCGGCCGCAGAGGGTAGGCGCACCGCAATACCGACACTCCTCTCCCTCCCGCGGCCCCACCACTACTGCATCAGCGGTGCAGCCTCGCCGAGTCGCGGAGGATAGGGAGAGCGGCCAAACGCAATACCGCTACTCCTTTTCCCCCACGACTCCTTCTCGGTAGCAGAAGACAGGGAGAGTGGCTCCACCTCTACCACCCTCGACCTGTCCCCTGGACCCTCCAGCACGCATCCAGAGTGGGCTCAATGAGCCCACTCGGAGCGGCCCTCTCGGGCCGGCCTTACAGCACAGGCCAGCCCAGTGTGGGTTCCTCTTAGCTTCGCCGTGGGTGACCAAACCACGGCTACTAAGCCCCTCCGCCACGTCAAGGCACGGTGGTAGGGCCACGCAGCAGCCTCGGCTGTTGCACGAATGGGCCGGCCCGTCCGGGTAAGTACCACAACCTCACAGAAGACCAGCGTAAAGTGGAAGTACGACAATTAATTTCGCGTTTCGTCTGGTGAGTGAGGTAGCCGGAGCCCAATTTTCAAAAGGTTGTCAACGCATCTGTAACCCTCGGATGTAGCAGATGTCCATGGGCGGCGGTATTCACTTAACATCAGGTGAACCGTCTGCTCGTTTGACAACTTTTCGCATAAAAAAAAAGACTGGAACCCTGTGGGAGGGGTTGTCGATCCCACCTAAGTGTGGTGATAAGGAAAGGAGAAATAAGTCTTTTCCTTTTCTTTTTTAAGTGTCAAGGTTTTTGCATTAAGCGCCCTTCAGTCTCACCGCCGGACGGGCCTTTTAAGCCAATCGAGTCAAAAGGAATTTATGAACTGGTTTTAAAAGACATCTAGTTATCCTTGCTTCTTATTTCTAAATCATTAATGCAGAACTTATAATGTGTCCACAGTTTTTGTTCGTACTACAGTTACACATAATTAAAACAAAAGGCCATACGTGCACCTAAATATATAAATCGCTGTGCTGTGTTCTTCAGTGATCTAATTAAACGTAAATATATATTGCATTAAAGATAAAAAAAATACTTTAGAATAATTTTCTAATTAAAAGTTTTAAATTTATAAATAGAAAGGTGGTAAATTGCAAACGTGACCTTTTAAACGTCATGATTTATTTTTGACTGACTGATGAGAATGTACATATATCATATATATTTTTTATACTTATATTAGTAAAATAAAAAAAAATATTTTCTATGTCTATATGAAGGGCTTAATATAAGGCTTATTGGGCTTTTGAGTATGGTTTAATAAAGGCATTAAAGTTACTCCCCAAAGTTCAGTTCAATATTGTTAATTTTTTCACATGAAAGACGTAAAATAACCACTTTATTATTTTTCTTCTCTACATCAAACGTCAAAGCGCTTTTATCTTATCTTTATTACAACACATAATACAGACTAATAGAGACCTTCGAATTCATATAACATATTGTTTTCTTTAAATTACATGCGCTGGTATTTTGCTTTCGCAAGTGACGCTAAGATAATGTTTATGTGATAAATTAATAAAGATAGATAGAAGAGATAAATTACGTACTGAAATTACGACTGGTTGATGAATGGCAATAAGCAAATTGAATGAATTAGTGAGCCTTGAATTGAAAAAAATCTAATTTCAATACTCACAAGTATTAAAGAATAAATTATTTAAACTAAAATAACACTTTCCACAGAATTTTAAGTACCAGAGGACCAGTATGTACGAGTGCTTCCTAGAAATAGCTTTTGAAGCTGAGTTGAATACAAAGGAAGACCCAGAGTGCCTCGAATTAGCGATCGAGCATTGTAACGAGAATCCAGCTACCAGGAGTGCAGCGATCAGGGAGCTAAGGGAATTAATATACGGTAAGCGATGAAATCATTCTTTCAAACATTTATGTGATCCGTGTTGTTGTGAAAGGGCAGACATTAATGATCATTTTATGTAACAAACATACTTAAGTGATGTCATTTCAAACGTTTAATTTACAAATTAAATTAACTTTATGAATAATATACAATAACATTATGGTTCAACTAAGTTAACCTATTGAATCATCAGGTATGCGTATATACGAGAACAAATCTCAGCATAATTGGTGTCGTTCACCTTTGACTAACAGTTTTTAAAAGCTCCTCTTTAGGCACAAAGAAGAGTTATCCTCCGAAAACGCACGTCGCATTTCGCAACAATGAAGACCTTATTGTAATCGCATTTAGAGTTTTTTCGCGCGACAATTGCTTAACTCGAACGAGTACGCGTACGAAAGGTTAACAACGCCCGCTTCGGTACTTACGCTGTTTGCGAAACGGCAGCGAAATAATATCGAAAACGGCTCGATTTTGATCTGAATGAATAATATGCTGTTTATTTACGCAATTTTATTTAGGCAATTACACATTAATAAATAAAACTGTACTATGATTTTATCATTAGAGTAAAATAGCGCGCACACTGACCGACAGCGACATGATGAAGTTGGTAGTAAAGCGAACAACTTCACGGTTTTACCATGCCAACCAAAAACACCTTTTTGACATTCACCTATACTTGCAAGTTATTTAATTAAACCGTTATCAGTTGCATTGTCTTTTTCACAAACAAACAGTACTGTCACAGGGGATGCAATTCTTAGTTAATTTTCTTTTGTTACGATAAAGAACTATAGTTTCTTGCGTATATGAGTAAGAACCGAGCAACGTTTCGAGCCCTTTACAAGGTCCATGGTGACGGAGACCATGTCGTAAACATAAGTTAAAAATAATGGCGATCAATCCGTAAAAATAGATCCATTAAGTATTTTTCCTATTAGTAATTCTTTTCCTTGTCTATATCATAGATGGGGCACACATTATATTAGTCTTAACAATGGAAGGCCCAACACATTTAATCCTTAAAAGTGATAGATTTTTTTTTTAAGTGGAAATAAAACCATAGACTATTGACATGAAATGTTAACATGAATGAAACGGTACGGCGCGTAAAATTTTAGCATATCTAGAGCACAAAACGTTCCAGAAAACGTTCAGAATGTTACAATTGCTAAATTTAAATAAATATGTAAAATAACGTTTGTAAACCATATTCTCACTATAAAAACATGGTGTAAAAAAATAGTCCGCTAAGTTTCTAACGCCGGTTCTTCTCCGAACCGTTAGTTGTATGTTGACAATCGATATGCGAGTGTAATGCTCATATGTTGAATAAAGATATTTGAATTTGAAAATGTTTATAGGTGTACTGTTTCTTTGGCACGCTGTGTAGCCAATAAGGCTTTGCGAATATTTATTATTTAAGTTGTGGGAGTAACATAATTATGCTTAATTGTTTTTACGAGGTTGCTTTCCGTAATTATGTGGATGTTTTATTAATTTACCATGTCTGATTTGGAAAGACCGAGGTCGAGTGTTAATTTTACAAAAATGCACACACCGCTCCAGTCTTATCCAACTTAGGTGGGGTCAGTAAGTCTGCATAACCCGCGAATCAAGTTTTTAGTGGTACTGGCTAGGTTTTTAGGACCGGTCGCCTGTCTGATGGTCCTCTTGAGAAATAAACTTTAGTCTTTTTAGGGTTCCGTACCCAAAGGGTCCGCTTCACGCCGGTCTTCTATGAGGTCGTGGTACTTCCCCGGACGAACCTGCTCATTTGTGCAAAAGCAAAAACTGTTGCCTGGCTTTGTTAAGATTAGTCAGATTAGTTTCTTATTAATATGACATAGTTTTGTATACGCTTTATTAGTGTATCTAATACCTTTAAACGAGCAATTCTTGTCTATATATAAATATAATCGGAATCCCGGAAACGGCTCCAGCGATTTTCATGAAATTTAGTATGTGCGTAGATTCGGAGGCGAAAAATCGATCTAGCTAGGTTTCATTTTTAGAAAATGTCCTTTTATCCCTGTTTTCAGGGAATGAAAAATATCATGCGATTATGACAGTAAGGCCGCGGTTCGTGTCACGTGTCATTTACACACTTATTTTTTTAATTTTTTTTTCTATACCAGATCATTGCTTTCTTTATTTTTTATTTTTTTTTATTTCCAAAATACACGATTTACCAAAAAAAAAAACCAAGTAAAGCTCGGTCCTCCAGGTACTATTTTTATGTGTTGATGATATTTCATTTCAATGATTGACGCAATTGTTTTGCATAGAGTGCAGAAGGTTAAATATTTGGCATAACATTTAATACAAAGTGAATTAAACATAAATGCCAAATGCGCACAATTTAGTTTTCTAATTTGATTGAATATTTTGTAACTGAAAAGTTAATAGAATTGGATTTTATACGTTCACATAAAAAATACATTTCGCATAAAGCTATTAATCCGGCAGACCGATTAATCCGGATTCAAAAGATAAAATTTAAATGCCACAATTTAATATCGTAGCGACGAATTTTCTTAATATTACACCGACACTAATTGCTAATTTATTTAAATTTTCAATTAATAGTCTTTCATATAATTATATTGCATTTTATCGCACAAATCTTGAATGTGGTTCTTTAATTTGATATAACTTTTTTATTTATCAACCGATTTAAATAAATCTGTACAATAAATGTTAAGTGAAGCTTACTACAATGCATTAGTGAAAGTTGCACCCAAGTCGGTCTGGTCCATTTCTGAGATTAGCGCGCACAAAAGCACAGACAAACACACAAACAGATAAACTGGCAAAAATTTTTAAAATCAGTGTTTTAGGTTCTATGGAGTTGATAAAGGCCCCGAATAATAATTTTTCTCACATGTGTTCAGTGTACAGACAACGAACGACATTTATCTAACATGGAAAGATATTTGTAGTTTGAAGGATGAAGACGGTCATAGGCTGCTTTTTACAGTTGAACATCTAAATCTCGCGGGAAAATACATTGATTTGTGCCTTTGATTTGAAGTTATAGTAAATTAATCCGTCCGTTCGTCTATCTGTCTGTCTGTCTGCCTGTCACCAGGCTGTATCTAATGAACCATGATAGTTAGACAGTTGAAATTTTCACAGATAATGTATTTCCGTTCCCGCTATAACAACAAATATTACAAACAGAATGAAATATTTACTCCTGGCCGGTTTTTTAAAGATTCGCATCGCATTTGCAACGCCTAGGGCATTGAATGTTCGTGGGCGGTAACCACTTAACATAATGTGATTTCTGGGACTTGAATCGACAGATCGCGTCGAGTGTGAGCCGTATCGGACCGATGACGAGTTTCTGCTGCGATTCCTCAGGGCACGGGACTTCATCGTACGACGGGCACACAAACTGGCAAGTGGCCTCCTTTTCTTATCCCTATTCCACATGCCTGATGCATTCTCTTCAGCCCGTGGACGATTAAAGCTTCGAACGGAGCTCTTGAGCCGGAACCCACGAGTTGCAGAACTGGACACGTGTTTACACAACGTTTTCTGGTCGCAAACTAAGCAATCGCTGTACTATGGGTACTTGATAACTGACGAACATATTTAAACATACTTTTCTTTTGTTAATAACTACATATTGTAAATATATAAAACCCCACTGGAAAAACACTGTTTCATCACGCAATATTTTTCCAATAGTCGGGATTGAACCCGCAGCCTCTGGCGCAACAGCAGTTTTATGTGAAAAATTGCCAAGCGAGCAGACGATTCACCTGATATTAAGTTAATACCGCCGCCCATGGACATCTGCTACACCCGGGGTTCCAGATGCGTTAACAACCTTTTGAAATTTGGGCTCCGGCCACCTCTCTCACCAGACGAAACGCGAAAGTATTATACTTACAGTTTACGCCCGTCTTCTGTGAGGTCGAGGATCAAACCCGGACGAGCCTGCCCATTCGTGCAACAGTCGAGGTTGCTGCGTGGCCCTACCACCGTTAGAGCTATTATCGGACTAGGTTAGTGGTCACCTAGCTACACGGACAATAGCTACAGAGTCGAGGTCCGAGGGTTTAGAGCACCCTCCAATCGGATAGCTAAACGTTTATTGAGTAACAGACCATTTGACCATGAGGTCATTTGAGGCCCCTGCCCTTAGTCACTCCGTGGAGCGTCCGGCAAAGTGACCTAAGAGCTTGGCGGCTTCACAATTCGGTGATAATACATTTTTTTACGTGAGATAGTGGCAAACGAGCTGGCGGTTCACCCGATGTTATGTGATAACCGCCGTCCATGGACATTTGCAACTCCCTTACGGTTGCAAAAGCGTTGCCACGTCTAAATAAAGTGGGCCCCGGCTACCTCAATTACCATTTTTTTGACCGTGGAAAAAATCCTTTATGGATCCTCTGCCACTGGATCGGGGGAGTGGCAAGGGTATGTGGGAGTCCCGGTGAGAAATGGGTACCCACTAAATACCCACCCAGAAATTGTAACACTTCTACTTTACGCCGCTCTTCTGTGAAGACGTGGCGAACATAAGTTTTTAAATGACTTTTTGATCATTTTTGATGAGGAATTATGGAAGTTACGGCGTACCGACGAACCATCGCCCTTGAAGTGACGTATGGAGATTATTAATACTGTTTATTTGACGACGTGTATTTTCAGCTGGTGCGCTATTGTGACTTCCGCGCGCAGTACCCCCACCTCTACGAGGGTGTGGACCTGTGGAGTCTCACCAAGGTGCAGGACGCCTATGAAGGCACGATGCTGGACCGTCCGGACATAGGCCGCCTATCCATCCTAAGATTTGGTGAGTTGCCATCGCAATTGAACGTTGTCGACCTTACCCTCAATCGCTGCGTTACCGAAGAACATATCAATGAAAGGTCTTGTGTATTTAACATTATTTAATAGACAGTGGTAGTATTTACTGGTCATGATCAACGCTGAACCAGTGATGTAGTTTTTAGTACATCATTACATTGGCCTGATCTATGTAATTACTGGTAAACAGTAAGATTTATGAACATTGGATGTGTAATATATATCTCCAATATTCATAATTCTTATTGATCAGATTAATTATAGTTCTCACTTCTGTGAGAGACCAACAAAAACAACCGCTCCTGTAAATAAAATTTACTTACTATCTGAATTTTTCATTTCACAAACGACATATCTGTAAAAATGTCAATAAGTTTAACACGCAAAACATTCTTCATTTAGACTCAGGACTTTAAATTGTTTTAAACAGTATAGGTATACATTAATTAAAATAATCTAATTAATTGAATTAAATGTGATAATAAAGCTTAACATTTATTAACCCTACGGTCGTAGGGCGTCAAAAATAGAGTAAGACTCATTTGAGTGTTCCCCTCCACGGAAATCTTTAGTAAAAGGCGAAAGATTTGTACGTTTTGAAGGGAAACCAGAGTGACGATCTGAAGAAATTGAATGGCCTATATACGCCTTCGCAAGTCAAACCATATCGTGATTTAATAGCGACCCAGCGACATCTAGCTTACGAATTTGAAACTTTGACGATAAAAAGAAATATTAGCTTCTAGCTAATTAAGACGTCACAACTAGAATTAAAATTTTGTTTAGTAACATAAGATATGAAATTAAAAGTTTATTACTTTATTTAGAGAAACAGTTTTTTAGAGTTTTGGTTTTTTGCTTCGTGTTAGAAGAGCCAAACATATTAAACAAAAATAAATTTTCGTAAGTGCTAATTAATCACGAGGTTTATAACTTTATTAAAAATAGTCACTTACCGTTGCATATGTTTTTCTTAATAATACACTGTTTTAATGTACTATTTTATATGTATTTACACTTACATTTTTAGTTTTAATATTTTCGTAGTATTAGTCCGGCAAATAATAAAGTGAGATTCACAAATTGATAGAGTTTAAAATAATTATAAAATATGCTGATACATCTGCATTTTTATGAAGATAGATAATTTTGCGATAGACTTTTATAGGAACGGAAAAAAAGAAGCATAGAAAATCAAATAACTATGGGTAATAAGTATTTGATTTAAAATTATATTGTAGTAGGATGAGGAAAATTCTTTAGTCGACTCTACATTTTGCACAATGAAACTCTCTCCTGGGCAATAATAATTCCCATCTAGTAGAGTCTGCTTTCCTTGTCTTACAATTCCAGTTTCCAGCATGAACGTCCGAAATAATACAGTAATGGGTCGCCAGATGGCTCAATACAAAACTTTACCCGCAATAGTTTTTAGGGATTCCATACATAAGGACTTCCGTTAAATTGTTTCATTTGATTTTATAATATTTTTCCCTGCTTCAGTAACGTTTTAAAGGTCTATGTATTAGGGAGGGTTTCGGAGGTCATGTCAGTTGAAACAGTAATAACCAAATCGTTTTGTTTTAAATGCGTCTCCATAGTTCTTGAACGAAAAACCTAGATGTCACTGTATTGGAGTTACAGCACACTATCGTTTGACTTGTGGCAGCGCATATAGGCAATTTAGTTTCAATTTGTGTTACTCTGGTTTCCCTTCAAAACGTATAAATCTTTCGCCTTTTACTAAAGATTTCCGTGGAGGGGAACACTCAAATGAGTCTTACTCTATTTTTGATACCCTACGTTCGTAGGGTCTATAATTCTTATACGGTGTTAGGGAATTTTGGGATCAAGTTATTAAGGCATGAGACATACCTGCAACATTCTATACCCGGCCTCAACGGTACGGGTATCGCCGTATACCCGGTGCTAAAACCCAGTAAAAAATACCTATAGGTATTAGTTATGTTCAGGCCTCCTAATGGAGACCCGGTATGGAATTGAACCTTTATTTGGTTGGAATTGGAACATTTAGATGTTTTTTTAGCAATCATTTTTTTTTAATTGAGATTTAATCAGTCTAAATTAAGCTCCATCTTTACCAACGTAAAGAACCCTATTATAAAAAAAAAGTAATTCAAAATAAATATTACTGTTTAATCTTATTACGCAATTATTTATCTACCTAATTGTCATAGAAATAAAGAATAAATTTATCTCAAGGAAATATTTGGTATAAAATGCCTAAATCATACGTTTCAATTCGGGCATGATCGGAAAGAGCCACCGTAAGCGTTCGGGGAACTTCGTACCTTATCGGCCGGCGGGTTGTCGCGAGCGTATATACCGCCACCGTCGGACGAGGCGGCCATAGCCATACCTATCGGGTATGGAACGGGCCTCTGCCGTACATACGTCATACCCGGTATGCGGGCGGGTTGTCGCGAACGTTATATACCGCCACCGTCGGACGAGGCGGCCATACCCAGCCATACCTATCGGATATGGAACGGGCCTCTGCCGTACATACCCGGTGTGCGTACTGGCATGTTCATACTGGGTATTTATACCTGTTCCAGTATATACGACTCATCCCTAAAGTTATTGTTGATTAACAACATCTTTGGAGTCACAGTGATAAAATCACTGTGACGGTATTTTTATCACATCGCTTTCATCATCATTCGGATTTTTGTTAAAACCAAGGAAACAGAGAAATTAGATATGGTATCAGTCAGGTATATCTTAAACTTTAAAACTTTGAATCAAGTACAATTACCCTTGGAGTTTAATTTAAATATATTATATAATTTAAATACAAGTTATAGATTCTTGATAAAATTGATAGTAATCTTTTCTGAATATTAAAGCTAGATAATGCAGAAAGACTTAGAACTTACTGTTAATCCAATTTGACAATTAATCTGGCATTGTGAACACGATGACATCTTTATAATTATTAAAACCATTTGATTTTATAAGATTTACACGTCGTAAGTTTGACTTAGATTGAAAATTGTATACAAGATTCAGATTCTTTAAATTTCTGTCATTTTGAATCCCTAATCAGTCTATCACGTTCATGAACATAATATATGTAATTTTGGCTAGCCCACCGGTTCTGCGTTCGATGAACCTTTAATAGACTAAGGATTATTAAAGCTAAAAGCTTCATCGAAACAAAAAAAATGTGTAATTATTGAGAATATTGCGAAATTTCGCTTATCAATATCATCAATGGGGAAATATTTAAATCTAAGTAGGACTAAACTGACTGAGGACGACGACTTGAAACACCAGTACCCGCTTGTCCTTAATTAGAAACGTCTTAGATATCAATCAAGTATACTGAATCAAACGCGATTGGAGTTTTATGACATAAAAGCGGCTGTAATGTGTTCCTTTAAAAAGGAGTAAAGAAAAGTCTTCTGATTATTTTTATTAACGGTGGTAGAGCCTTGCAGCAGCCTCGCTGTTGCACGAATGGGCAGGCTCGTCCGGGAAAGTACCACGTACTGACAGAAGACCGGTTTAAATTGAAGGTATAATACTTTCGTGTTTCATCTGGTGAGTGAGGTGGCCAGAGCTCAATTTTCAAAAAGTTGTCAACGCATCTGCAACCCTCGGGTGTAGAAGATGTCTATGGGCGACGGTATCCACTTAACATCAGTCCGTCTGCGCGCTTGACAACTTTTCACATTAAAACAAAAATTCTTTAATTTCCTTGGATGTGTTCTTTTAAAAGGAAAGGGAAGAGTTCTGATCGTCCTTTACTAACGCTTCCAACGTCCTTGCTCCAGGAGCGTGGGACCCCAGCGAGTTTCCCGTGGACGATCTGGTGCGCGCCGGTATGGCCATGTACGAGATAGGGATCCGGCAGCCGAAGCTCCAGGTCCTGGGCGGCACGGTGATAGTGGACCTCGAGGGGATCACCTTAAAACACGTCTCCACATTGACCCCGACGATCGCGTACCAAATCGTGTGTCTAATGGGGGTGAGTTTCTCATCAAAACGTTAAATACGCAGCAGACACTGAGCTTACTACGCTCTTAGTTAAGCCACCAGTTACAAATGTGAGTTGGGAAATAAGAAAACACGTTGACGGGAATTCGCAGGAAATCTCTATTTGAAGCAGAAATACTGTCCCTAGCCACAAAATCGCAAAAAATTGTAATTCAAATGTCTTTATTCCATATGGAAGCATTACCCTTATTGACTGTCTAAATACTAGAACCGGTCTGGGAAAGAAAAGCTACCGACCCGAGAAGAACCGACGAAAGGAACTCAGCTGGATATTTTTTTTTCTTTACCAAGCTTATTTAATACGATACGTTTATTAATTTATGGAGTTCAGTTCTTATCATAAATTCCAAAAGTACTGAACGCTGCGCCATCACGGGACGGAACAAAAGTTAATGATGAAAGTAAAACAGATTCGGTTTAAAGTATGTAGATGAAACTGTTGCAAAAGTTGACCTTTAACTTAGTGGTTAGGGGGTCTGGATGATTAATCCTGAATTCCAAATCCCAATCCTGGAAGTGGCGGTATCTTCACGTTCTACGTTTCAACGTAAGTGCAAATACTAGCACTAAATTTAAAAATTAAACTCCACTTTTTTCGATAGCGATACTCGCACCACTAAAATTAAAAATTAAACGGTTTTCAGATAGCGATACCCGCCCGTTTAAGGTCCTGTCACATCATCAACTACAACTGGCTCCTCAACACGTTCTTCTACCTGTTCAAGCGCTTCATACCGCAGGAGACGTGGGGCCGGATCTACTTCCACGGCCACGACCTCAAGTCCCTCCACCGGCACATAGACCCCGAGTGCTTGCCGAAGAGATACGGTGGCAGTTGCAGGAACCACGTCTCTCTGGGGCACTGGTTCCAGAAGATCAAGAAGTATAGAGACGCGCAGTTTGACAAAGAGATGAAGGCCATAGGGTACCTCGTAAAGGAATGAGTGGAGCTATAGTACCGTCAATATATCAAACAAAGTTGAGTAAATAGAGTGAATTAAACGTATAATTGTTGGTTCAAAACTGACGTAAGGCTAGTGATGAAAACGTGGTAGTGATAAATATTGTAAATGAATATTGAATTTTTTTTATTTGGATATTCATAAAAATGTATACGTTGATGGTACGGTTGTAGCTATAGCGTTTCGGGTGAAATTTGATTAATATCTCTCGCCTGAATTTAATGTATTACTCGGCGACTTTGTTAAGATAATTTAAGGCCAAAACACAAAATCAATGGTATATCCTAAATAAAACTCCTGATGACTCCGTGGCGCAGTTGCCAAGGTATTGCCTTCGACGTCGGGGGTCGTGGGTTCGATTACCACACGGGACAACTATTTGTGTGACCCACAGATAGTTGTTACGCATCTGGGTGTTTGTCCGCGTGAAATTTATGTTTGTAAAACGTCCCTACAACACAGAATAATGTTATCCTAAAGTAAGGGCAATGTTTTTTAGAAAAAACAATAAAATAAAATAAAAGAGTCAATGTAGTATATTAGTTAATGCGGATTAAGCGACTGACTGGATTGAGGAAGATGTCGAAGTGTGTAGCATGTCAAATAATCAGGTTATTTACAAAACGTTGTGATAGCATAAGAACTTTCTGTAATGCATGTTTAAAATTAAACACTTTTAATTATATTAAACAATAAATGACCTTCGAAATGACAACGAGATAGAAAGACATCAATTCCATATCACTTGGACCTTGATATAAAGGAAAAAAGTACTCGTAAATTTTAAAAAACCACATTTGATGTGGTATAATTACTAAGATTAACACTAACAAGAACACGAAAAATAAGTCATTTCTATAAAACAGTAACAATATTAATGGTAACTAAATTATTGAATTATCACCCAAAATAAATTAAGGTTTAGGGAAAGAACTAACAAATTGTTTCTGTGATATTTCAATGTAGAGAATAATACTTATTGTTTTAGTTAAATTAAGTGTAGTTTTGCATGAGGGTTTTTTTTAAAAGGTTTTCTAAAATATTTTGATATCATATTTCTTATTCTATTCTTATTTTATTAGTATAGCAATAAACAATGGTGCATACAATTTTAGTTTTTTATTCATAACCACATAATATAAATGAAACTTAAAATTGAAGTCAGAGTTGAAATATTACAGTTTTTGCTTGTTTCAAACTTTTATGAATATGAATATAAACTACCGGTTCGCAAATTTAGATCTGTCCAGAAATGTAAATACATATCGCGTTCATGTTTAATATTTTTCCCCAAATCACTACATAGTATATAACGAAGTCGCCCCCTGCCTGTCTGTCCCTATGTATGCTTAGATCATTAAAACTACGCAACGGATCTTGATGCGGTATTTTTTACTAGATAGAGTGATTCAAGAGATACGTTTATATGTATAATACATTGCACCCGTGCGAAGCCGGGGCGGGTCGCTAGTATTAATATAAAAGTAATATAACCAGTAAAAAATTGGTAGCTAGGGAAGATTAAATATAACTTCTTATAGAGATAACATAAACAAGATCAAAGTTAGACCTAAAGTTACTGCGACAAAGATTACACAAGAAGAAGCATGATGTGCAAAAAACCAAGGCAAATTATATCAGGTATTTTAAGATACTCGTTAAATTAAGGTAATGACCTGGTAAGATAAAACAGACTACCTTTTACGAACAAAACTTTAACAGTTCTTGTTTCACACATTAAAAGTTCCTTAACCCGCTGTCTCAAACTTTTCCCTATTCAAGCTTACGGCTGTTACCTTAGTTAGAAACTGTAACCTCTCACCGTTGTTACTGAACATTCTGTCCTTGTCACTAGCTCTTTCTTTTTCTTGCATAGGTCATATAAATTTGTTAGAAAGAGATAGACGGGCATGCAACAATGATAGTTTCTTGTCCAGTTACTGTGATCAGACGTCAACGACTAACGAAAACAGCTTTCACAGTATATAGGTTACTCTGTGCTATCAGCCACACACTCTATTTCTACAACATAGTATGAAATTACAGCCTGGTATTTTGTAACAGGCTTAACTGGTACAAAATTTCATCTAGTATAGCTCTTTCCTGGTCTAGACTCACTAAGACATTAGGTTGGAAGTGTGTACGCAAGTATGGGGTAGCTAATTTTAGTGCTTAAACATTTCTCCCAATGAACGATGTTGAAACGTGCAATACCTTTATTTCATTTATGTTCATGTTGATTTGTTGAATCAATAGTCAACAACGAGACGAGTATCAGAAAATATTTCATAAACTTATAATATCTATATCTAATAATATAATAATATACAAAGTCTACAAGTAAATTTTAGTAGAGGTACCTACCACAAAGGGTTTAATTGCTTGACCAATTGCCACGCGCATAAAATAATAGAGATAGACCCTACGAACGTAGAGTATCAAAAATAAGTAAGACTCATTTGAGTGTTCCCCTCCACGGAAATCTTTAGTAAAAGGCGAAAGATTTATACGTTTTGAAGGGAAACCAGAGTGACACAATTTAATACTGAATAGCTCATATACACTAACAGAAGCCAACCCATAGCGTGTTGTAACTCTCATATAGCGACATCTAGGTTGTCTCTAAGAACTAGAAAGTCACATTTCGAATAAAATATGATAATACTTTATTTTTTTAACTAAAATTTTATTTTTTCAAAATATTAACCATGCTAATTTTATGATTATTAGTTTATATTTTACGAATACTATTTTTCCATGGTTTAAATCTGAAAAGTTTCTCATCTCCCTTCCTATTATAAAAGATATAGAGACTTTTAAAACGTTACTTAAAAATATAAAGAACTATAAAAAGTTACAGAAGCAGCAAAAATTTTGTTAAACAATAAAACATTGTATTAGTACTCACTAACGTTCAAGGACTCCCTTGGCGTTATTCTTTCTTTTAAAACTGTTGTTGATAGTAATTATTTTTCGCGCCATCTGGTAGCCCATTGTTGTACTATTTCGGACAAACTTGTGCTGTGAAATGGAGAATCGACTCGAATCGAATGGAGAGTCGACTCTACATTTTCCTCAAAAAACTGCAATGGATATAATAGTAAAATTTCTGTTCAATATTCCAGTTCATAAAAAATCAGACACCAACTTATTATAACATTCTTTTAAATTATTCCTGTAACTTTAATCTCACTTTATTATTAACAAAACTTCTTTTTAAATAAATAAAAATTTAAATTACAACAAAGGACATAATTATTTTTAATAAAATAAAAATAAGTAGTGTAAAATAAAAAAATATACACCACTCTAACTACAAGCAAGATATTATTATTTATGGTACAAGCCTCGAAATTGAAAAGTCTTAATTTAAGTTTTAATCAAAAGCTAATTACGTGGGAATAAATATGTAATTCATAAAATTTGTTACCATTTCAAGGAAATCAGTTTCTGGTTTCACGTTTTGCTTTACTAACACGAATTAAAAAACTTTCAACTTCAAAAAGTTTGAAGTTCTTAAGCTAGATGTCGCTTGGTCACTATTACATAACGCTATAGTTGATTTGTGATGGCGTATATAGGCTATTTAATTTAGTTTTGTCGGCACTCTGGTTTCCCTTCAAAACGTATAAATCTTTCGCCTTTTACTAAAGATTTCCGTGGAGGGGAACACTCAAATGAGTCTTAAATTATTTTTGACGCCCTACGTTCGTGGGGCTATTAAATTTCATAACAAAATTATATTGTTATAAGTAATGTGTTTTAAAAGTACGTATGTTCTTATATCAAAATCGTATATCAAAATGATTTGATGCCAAGAGAAGGAAAATTAATTCTGAAAATAGTATTACGGGTGACTAGTAAAAATTTTATTTAAAAAGTAGCTACATAGCAAAATCGAAAGTAAAATTAGTTTTGCAATAGTAAAAACGTTCTCTTCCTTCCCGATTAATGATATAAGTACCAAGTTACTAAGTAGCGAAGGTACGCGTAGATTAGTTCAGGATTAATTCATTACAGATTTTTTAGCCTAGGTTGTTGATATACTGATCTGATAGTATTGATCGAATAGCGCCCTGCCTCAGAGGCTGGAAGGCATGTATTATTTATGTATTTGTATATTTAATTTTAACTTATCTTAAGAGTTAATATTACTAAAGTATCTGTTATTAACCCTACGATAGTAGGGTGTCACAAATAGTGTAAGACTCATTTGAGTGTTCCCCTCCACGGAAATCTTTAGTAAAAGGCGAAAGATTTATACGTTTTGAAGGGAAACCAAAGTAACAAAAATCAATTCTAAATTGGCTACATACGCCGTCGCAAGTCAAACTATAGCGTGATTTAGTAGCTAAGCAGCGACATCTAGATCACAAATTTGAAACTTTGAAGTTAAAAGAAGAAATGGTAGCTTAAAGTTAGTCGCCATTGAAATTGAAGTTTCGCGGTTATTTACGTGGGACTTTTCGAAAAAATGTTAAAAATATCGTTTTGTAAATTCTTTAGCACAACGTAAAAACAAAAACTATTTTTTTTGAAATTGTAACGAATAATAATATATTTATTCTTATTTAACTAGGTTTTTATTTTTTTTATTAGGTATTTATTATTCCTTAAATTATACTTTTGAAATTCAAATCAAATTTAATTTTTAGATTTATTTAATTAAAAAGAATTGATAAATAAAAAATAAGACTAAAATTGCTGAGAGAGTTTAAATAAATTGTAGAATAAGCTAATCTTCAAAATTTACTAAATCAAATATCGTATTGTGAGGAAAATTCTTAAGTCGACTCTATATTAGTAGTGAGGCGTATTTATGGTAACCGGTGTCTTGATATAACAGACTGCCGTCTTGTTTTCGATTCGAGCTCGCTCTTGATTCGAATTTGATTTGAAAAGCTTACTCCCGAACCGAATCGAAACTAGAAACAAGATCGCGCGTTATCAAATCCGTTAACTGTATCCGGCCAATTACG